TATCTCTTCTTTTGACCAATTTACTAATCCTATTTGAGAATCTACTAGTGGAAGCACAGTGTGAGGTAGTTCATGGCAAGCCCCTTCCAACACTATGGAATTCGCTCAAAAGCATGCTTTTTGTAAGTATTTTAATTTTCAAGAAGCAACTTTAGAGCTTTACCCTATATTAAGTACTTTTGCTTGTCAAAGTTCTTGTTATGATTTTTTTTTTTTTTTTTTTTTTAGTTCTGAAAAGATTTCCGTCTTCACAAAGCTTGGCATGTTGATAAAAATTGTTTCAGATTCAATCTCTGCAGATTTGTAATCCAATTCAGATTCTTTTTTTTTCTTTTTTCATGCCCAGATTCAAAATTTCCTGTAGGCATAATTGACAAAAAAATAATAATAAATTTAAAAAAAAAAAAAAAACAGAAATAGAAGTTATAGAAATAAAAAAGAATATTTGTTTTGCTGAAATAAAATGTAGATTAGGGTGATTACCTCAAAATGCAATGCAAATTTTGTTACTTTATATTGTAAAAAAATATAAAAAATTTATTTACAAAAGATCATAAAAAATTTCACCAAATAGGATTTAGTTTGCAAAACAAGAATTATAGACTTGATTAGTTGATTTAGAAAAAAAAAATTTAAAACAAAACCCATACATACAAGTTAGCAGTTGCATAGAGAGAGGGGGGCAAGCTTGAAAGTTGACATCTAGCGGCTAAAGCTTGCGAACGGCGAACCCGAACTGGAACAGCGGGCGATGGAAACTGAAAGATATGGGTTTTGATTTTTTGAACAATCTGAAATGATATGCCGATATGGGTTTTGAACTTTTAAGTCTTGCAGACAGATAGATAAACTGAAATATATGGGTTTTGAACTTCTGATTCTTGTAGATTTTGTAGTTTGCAGTTGCAGAGAGAGAGACAGAGGGCAAGTTCAAAGTCGAGAATGAGAGAATAGAGATGGAGGCGATTGGGGAGGCTGAAATGATTTGCCCTAAAAATATTTTGTTTTTCGGTTACCCATCATCCATGGGCCTAAAAATTTTGAGGCCTTAGGCGATCCCCTTTGTCACCTTAGGTCAGGGCCCGCCTTGAGCTTATCTGGCTTGGGCCTTTATTTTAGAATTGTGATTAAGCTAACTTGGGCTTGATTGGGATAGGTTAATTTTATTAATAAAATCTTTTTTTTTAGTTGGACTAAAATTAGTGTAGTAAAAAAAAAAAAAAAAAAAATTTGTACACTCAAGCCGACCTTACATCCGCCCCTTACATAATTATATTCTTGGGTACTACAGTCTATACTTAGGGTTTTGGAATGGAGGCAATCACAAGTTAGGGAGAGGAGGTGGTGGAGGTAAGCCTTGGAGGAAGAAGACTAGCATTTCGACAGAGGTATGATATGTAGATTTGCATTGCTACGAGATCAAAAAAAAAAGAAAAAGAGAGAGAATTGTTTTGCTATGGAGAGAGAAAGGAAGATAGAGTGGACTCCCGCCCATAGCTGAACCTTAAGAAGAAAAAAAAAACAAACGGTTTAACCAGTAAAAAATTGAGTAATGCCCCTCTTTAATTTTAATTTTATTTTTTAGATGCTTGTTTTAATGATATTGGACCACATCATATGGAGAATGAACTTTATCCACTTAGATACAGATGGAGGATCCAAATTTTGTCCATTCCAAAATACCAAAAATATTAGAAAACTATCAAACCCAGCTGAAGTCGTGGTTTCTGTGCTTGGAAAAAGCGTTGTGCATGAGATCCAGGTTTTTTTTACTCTTTCCAAAAAGTTTAAGCAAACACAATGCCTTGTTTGGCCTAAAGCGAGATCGGGTCTGCGTGGAGCGTGTCAGAATCATATTCAATCCAATATTCTACTAAGCTAATTTTGAGACCGAATTGTATAAAGTCAAATAATATTTCTGGTGTTACTTTGCCACTAGGGTTGTAGACGTGTTCCTATCTGAAAGATTATGCGGCCTTATCAACGAAGGCAAGTGTTCAACGAGTTGGCCTTTTTGATATTTTCAAATTTATGTAGAGAAAATAAAAAAATAAAAATATTTTTAACAGTTTGAGCAGGGTAATTCTATCCTAAGTCACATAAATTTGAGCCAGAACATATACAAAATGACATATATTAAAGAAGATTGTATGAGTTAAATCAGGTAAACAGATGCAAATTGATATTGTGTATGGAAATTCAATTTAAGCTTCAATTATGAAGGCGGCCGGCCCATTGAATCATGGTGGCTCATTTGAGGTATTGTTTTGACCACGTGGTGGAAATTCAATTTAATCTGTCCGGTTTACTTTTGTAAAGAGATAAGATGGGTGCAAAGCGACGGTCACTTCGAGAGAAAATCTGTCGCCAGACCAAAAGGGAGAGAATTCTATCGTTGTAGTAATCTCTCCAGCAGATTGAATTCTAAATTTTGGCTGCAACTTGAAATGAAATGACCCTTTTTTTTTTTTTTTTGTTGTTGAAATGAAATGAAATGAAATTAGTTTGTCTGATAAGTTTATTCATAGAATCATATTTATGTCTAATTGGGATTTGTATGAAGTGGTGAGTGTGTTTTTCTTTCTTTTTTTATTATTATTGTTATTATTTCACAAGACACTATTAATTAGTGAATCGGTGAGTGTTTTTCCTTTTTTCTTTCTTATTTATTTATTTATTTATTTATTATTATTATTATTATTTTCACAAGATACGATTAATTAGTGAATCCTGATAGATATATATATATATATATATATATATATATATATATATTGAGTGGAAGTATGTGTAAACTAAAACAATTGTAAAGGGTAAAATATATGTATAAGAATAATTTTGTATTATTATTATTATTATTATTATTATTATTATTATTATTAAAAATATATATTGTTTATTGAAATAAATAACATTATACAAGTTTAAAATAAATTATAAAAAATTAAATGTAAAAATAAGTTTTTACATAAAATTCTTAGTTTAGGATTTTATTGATGTATTTTGATATAAAATTGTTGTTATGTATTTATTGAAATAAATTATATATTTCCTTCTCTAATTAAATTTTTTTTTTTGAATTTCAATATTTCTTACAATTATATTATTAGTATTAGTATTTAATTTGAGAAAGAAATATATAATAGTAAGGAAATACTATATATCTTCTAATTAGATTTTCTTTTATTAAATTCAATAAATAATTTTTTAATATTATATATTTCCTTATAATTAGATTTATCAGTTTTTATTGAATTTCAGTAATTAAGTTTTAAATATTACTAATTAAATTTCCTACTAATATATCATTATTATTAGTATTTTCTACAATTATATTATTAAATAAATTTTTTAATATTATATATTTCCTTCTCCAATTAGATTTTCATTTATTAAATTTCGATATTTTTCGTAAAAAAAAAATGGTGCAGCACATAAGGGGCTTAAATAAATCCAACTGTTCATAAATCCCTTTTTTTATATACATATATTTGACCAACTTTTCATAAATCACATGGATTTGACTCCGTTAGAAAAGGCTATCCAAACATGTCCAACAATAATTAATGAGGTGGAACCTAAGTCACACAATCGTTTTTCAACATATGTCGTTCTCATGTTCTGAGCGCGCTCTAGATCTCATGCTCCGCACGCTCTCTCTCAAATTCTTATTGCTTATGACTTAATTTTACCGCTCTCTCGCTCTCAAATTTGCTCTCGCTTCCGCTTCCGCTTTATGTGACTTAGGGTAAAACTTCTCCAATCTCATTTTAAAATACATCATCTCATTGTGAACAATTTAGATCTGTATAGTTCCAAGAAACCAAAAATCGACCCTATTTTCGATCTTTATCTCCAAGCTAACTTCCCAACCAAGTTGGAAAAAGAAAACAAAAAAAAAAAAAAAAAAAAATGAAAACAAAAAACGTTTAAGATCATGACCTAATTGGTTAAACTTCTGACCTAATAACTTAGCTTTTGGTGCGAGGAAGAATGCCATGTCCTACCTTACCCTTTTAAATTGTATTGTCTCAATTATTCTCATTTTTATAATTTTTTAGTCATTCAATATCTCAAAATTTTCATTATATTTGCATTTTATACTTGACATAATAAATGGGTTAAATGACTTAATTAAGTTAAATGGGTTAAAGAAGCCATTAAACAAGTGGTGACATACATGACTCATTTATTAAATGAGTTACACGAGTCATGTCATCTGCGAGTTTATTAAATGAATTACATAAGTCGTGTTATCAATTTGTATACTCGCCGAGTTCGTGTCGTGTCAGGAGTCCTCATGATTATCAAAGGAATCATATTCATATCGACTTATTTAGCAAAATAATTCTATGACGACACATAATTATAACCCAACACGAAATGTCACTGGTATGCTGCACCTTGTCATTGGTTTCTGAAACACCAACCCTTTATATATGGAAGTCATCTAAATTCAGACAAAAAATTCGCCACATTAGCTTACTGGTATATAAGTGATTATTAAGGTCCAACAGCATGCAAAACCAATACCATGTTACACTTTCCAAAACAAGTCATAGAAGCTTACCTCTACTTTCGATTGAATCCCGTAGATACATTTCCAAGCCTTCCAGATGATGAATAATATGAGACTAATAACTAAAGAGTAATGATAAGGGAACCAAAAAGATATCCCCGAATTAACACCGAATTTGACGTAGTTGGCTATTGTTAAACAATTATATTTTAGAAACTGTTTAAGTAGATAATGTGGACAAAAACATATCAGATTCGAGACTCATTCGGGGAAATCATTCGGTGACCCTATCATTTTCCATAACTAAATATTCACTAGAAATTGTTACCCTCCCTACTAGTAGACATAGGACTGCAAATTTTTTTTTCTTTTTAAACTAAAGAATCACTAATTCAACTGTTGCAAGTAATCTTGTTTCTAGTTGACTGGCATGCTCTCTAGCAGCTTCCATTGTCCTAACTTGCCATGAATCTCCAACGTATTACACGGGACAGGGATCAATTATTATCTTCTCCAATGATGTGGCAACCTCGAGTATGTGCATAACAAGATCAATTTCATGGTTGCTACTCCCAACAAACCCAATCAATTCCACCACCTTAAGGCATTGATGATGACATTTAGTCGCCTCTTTTTCAGCATATATTTGACCATCCCTTATTACCTGTCAGCACCACAAAAGAGGCATTATTTGCAGACAAGTTTAAGAATATAACAAACTCTTAGACCACTACAGATTTGTAATTTCAGTACCTGTTTACCATTCTCTCCCAGAATCATCTGCTATAGAGGAAGATAGTCAGACAAAAACTTGTTCACACAAGAAGATTAGATAAAATGATTAAGAACCACCTACAGAATGAACTAGAAGCTAAGAACTATAGTTGGTTAACACGAAAAGATTTCATTCTGCACTAAATGTGAAGGAAGCCAGGAGTTTTATTAAATAACAATAAGATATTTTCTTTCTTTTTTCCAATACTTTTGCAAAAGGTTTCTAAGAAAATCAACAAATGGCCTTGTCTTAACATTCCCAAGGTGAATCAACTGCTCGTCTGTTCCCTGCAATGACGCACATTAGAGTCCCCAAATCATCCTATCTAGAAGTAGGAACAAGGCTGCCTACCATCCACCTCTTTCAGACCCTGCTAAATGTAGGAACCTTCTGTATTGGCTACGATTTTTTTTTTTTCTTTTTTTTTTTTTTCCAATGATGATTCAAGTCATGCCACCGGGTTATGCAACAAACTATTGTCACCAAAAGCAATGTCACAATTAGAGCAACACAGTTACATATTTGTCATCAATAGTGGATATAAAATCAGGAATCATCCATATAAGAAATCAATCAAGAAACACCACCACAATTTGGTTATTTTCAATATTCCTGCAGAAATTGACCCCTAATGCTTTAACTGGCATTGGAAGCTACAAAACACTCTAATAATAGCCACCCCCAGAAAGTAACTGTAGATTAGTAGGCTTAGTAGTTGAGGTTGTTTATTGAAAAAAAACAAAAAAAAAAAAAAAAGTCTTACCATCCATGCCAAGAGCTTGACTCTTGTCAAATCTCACTCACATTCTAATTCAATCTCTTTATTCAATGTCAATTATGAAAACAAAATTCACTTCATGCTTAGTGGAGGATTCAAGTGAACAATTCTCCATACAAATTTACTTCCAGCAGTACAAAAAGATCGAACATGCTTATGACCATCACAAAATTTAAACGATCTGAGTTAATTCCTCAGGGAAAAACCACAAAGCGCGTCATGCATGAAAGTTTTTAGGATAGCACAAAGAGTATATCTTGATGTCCTCAAGTTAACACCCTTTTTTCCCGGTCAAGTAAAAGCACTCAAAAGGGGAGAGCACCCAAGAGAACATGTACAAATCAATAAGCTCCAAGCCAATAAAAAACCCCTATACCCTCAAACTATCCACAGAGGCTATAATCCCTCCCATTAACCCAACAAAGAGAACAAAAAATGGAAGATTTTAAAACCAAATTAGAAGATTCCAACCCTTTTTCCTCTACACCACAAGCCCCACCAAATACAAAGTGTAATCAATTCTCCATGCATCCTAGGCAAGCGACCTGACTAAGTTAATTCTTGAGAACAATCTTTGATAATTTTTTATTTTTTAAACTATATACATATAATTTAAAGTGACCTTGTTTCAATTATTAAGGAAAAAAAAAAAAAAAAAAAAAAAAAAGTTTAAAGTGACCTTATGTAACGACCCTAAACTGAATACCGAAAATAAAAAAAATAAAAAAATTTAAAAAATTTCGGCATGACCTCCGCTAAAAATGGTCCTACAACAACTTGTTCAAAAAAAAAAAACAACAACAACAACAACAACAACTGCCTTTCAAGACCTATCCAACCTGCCCCAACACACAGTACAAAAGAAATATAATGCATTCCCCAATACCACAACATCAACAACCTTCCCAAATTAGCCCATCATCGTCATCCCCTTCAACTTAAGCATTTATATGGTCTCAGTCTACAACAAAAATAATCAAGTATCTTAGTTATGTTACAGGGCCATGATTTGCAAAAATAAATACTCTTTTACATATTTTGAGATAAAACAAAAAAAAAAAAAATGGGCTAAGATACAAAAGATAACAAAATACAACTCCTAATCTTCTTCAAGCTTGCGGAGGATTGTCATTCGCCACTTCTTTTCCGAGCCCTGAAAAATATCAAATAATAGGGGTGAGCAAAATTGCTCAGTAGGTAGTGTCTAAGGCGCACCTCTTGAGACCCCGTGAATCCACACAATGAATAGGAATAAGGAAATTGGGATCATACCATACCGGGAGTAAAAGTATAACTACGATACCACATCATTAATCCAATACCACAAATAAATATGCCATGCACTGAAATGCCGTGCCATGCAATGTCACTCCCCATTTTCCCAAAACCATTTCCATTATCATTTCCAAACCGTTAGTGAACCCGTCCCATGGCAACTCCATGGTGGCACGAGAGGAGGATTGACCACTATCCCTGACCCATGGCAACTCCATGGTGTCATTTGGGGCCCAGGTAACTCAACCACACAAAGGCGGTCTCCCTAGTCCCCTCTAGGCCTCACTAACGCCGCGGTCCCTAAGCAACTCTGTGATGTTTCCGATTTTCACCATTTTTCTTTGTTCCAGAAATTTTGTTGCCGCATAGGCATTTTTGTCTTTTCACATTTTTCGTACCGAACACTGCGGAGTGTGTCGATTATATCCGAGAGTTGTTTGGAGCATTTCATTGGGTCCGGGACTCTTTGAAATGCAAGGGCAACTATTCTTGCATTTTCCCTTTTTTGAGGCCGAACGGTTCTGTGTGGGACCCGCTACCAGTTTGATTGCGTATAGGTATTTTAGTTTGGTCCATTCTCATTTGATGCATCTCATTTTAATTGATTTATGTAACAACTGTATGGTGGTGTGTTATATGTATAATTGTGGTGTAGAAAGTAAATGAAAGAAAAGGAAAAGTCAAAATGGAAGTGGTGGGACCCACCACTAATGTCTTCATATGTTAGAGACCACAATTTAGTCTCACTTTCTGAATTCTCTCTCTCACTCCCGTAGCTCTCTCTTTCTTCTTTTTCCTCTTTTTCATTTTTCTTTTTCTTTTTGTGTCAAACTTTAATCCTAGATTTCTCTCTCATTTCTTGGAGTTTTTAGAAGCCGTTTGCAGCAAATCGAAGCCCACGACGAGGCCTTTGAATCCATACCAGCAATTCCAGTTTTGATGCTCCCTAGGAATTTTGAAAATCTAAACCCATTTTGAGGGGTTTGCATCAATTCAAGGTATGGGTCCTTAATCCACAAAGTCTTGTGCTTTAGTGAGTTAATTTACTTGATTTGTGTTCTAGCATGCTTAATTGTAGTGATTATAGTTACTTTGACTTGATGGAACAAGTATGAATGTATGATGATGTGTATTAATTTAAGTTGTATGATAAGCATGCTTGTATGTGAGTTTTTAAATCTACTATGTTGTTAACATGCTATAAATGATGTATGAGAACCTGTTTAATGGTGTTGTGAGAAATCTCTTAGTATTTATTACAATGAAAGCATGAGACTCATATACATAACATTGGGCATGCATGAAGGGAATCGTTTCGAAATGAAAATGGGAAATTTTGGGAGCATGGTTTTAAGGAATTAGTTTTATGAAAACCCGGTCGCCGCGAGGGTACCAAAGGGCCGGAGGGTTAATATAGCTTAATGGGAACTAGAGAGATTGTTCTAGCGTGGTTGAGCTAGCTGGGCCCAAAATGACTCCGCGGGGGTACCAAGGGTCAGGGACACTAGCCAATCCTTCTCTCGTGTCGCTGCGGGGTCACTAAAGGGCAGGTTATATTAACCGTTTGAAAGCGATGATTTTGAATGTGAAAATGGGGAGCGACATCGACATGCATTGCATTCCCATTGCATCATATTGTGTATACTTGTGATTGATTGTTATGTGATATTGTCCCGACATTGTATAATCCCCAATTCCTATTGCTCTATTCTTTGTATGGATTCACGGGGACATAAAAGACGTGTCTTAAGTACCATCTACTGAGCAAATTGCTCACCCCATACATTTATCATTTTTTCAGGTCATGGAAAGGAATTGGCGGATGATAATCCACCGCAAGCTTGAAAGTTGTTAGAAGACCATTTTGTTATTTTGTACTTTGGCCATTCAATGTATAACCATAGTTTTGAAAATGTAACAGATGTTAATATTCATGGCCTTGTAACTTAAGAATGAAACTTAGTTTCCTTCGTATGTAAATGGAATTAATGTGACCACCATGTATATCTCCATGAAGTTATAGCAAGTGATGTTGTAAGATGATTAATTGATGGCATAGTAGTTTACGATTGCTTGAATATTTCATAATCGATGGTTTTGTCCGGGTTTGGGTTGTTTTAAAAGTCCCCTCAGCCATATTAGTTCATTTCTAAGCATAGCAGGTCAATTTTCAGGATTCAAGGCTTGAAGAAGCCACTTCGGTCGACCGAAAAGGTGCATCGGTCGACGGAACCCCTTTTGTTAGCTCTCGGGATCTCCTGTTTCGGTCGACCGAAATAGGGTTCGATCGACCGAACCATTCACATGCTCTCAGGACCTCTGCTTCGGTCGACCGAAGGGGGGTTTTAGTCGACCGATTTGGAAAGGCTTGCTTTGGCCGACCGAAGTGAGTCTGTTTGATCCGTATTGCTCTTCCTTCTTTGGTTTTCCACTTTTAGCCTCGGGGATTCATTTTGAAGCCATGTAACAACCTAGGGACACCCTTAAAGGTAATGTCATGATACTAGAAATGTTGAGTTTGACATAGGTTACCTCGGGTTCCAGTAAAGACCCGGCTAACGGTTTAGACCTCCGGGTTCGGGTCGTCATAGACCGGTTCTGGAAAGCTTGCTTCGGCCGACCGAAGTGCCCCTGTTTGATCCACTTTACTCCTTCCTCCTTGGTTTTTTTCTACTTTTGACTCTTGGATTATGTTCAGAGCCTTTGGGAGGACCTAGTTTTGATTCTAAGGATAATGTTTGACACTAGAAACGACAAGTTTGACCTAGAAGACCTCGGGTTCGAGTAGGGACCCAGCTAACGGTTCGGACCTCCGAGTTTGGGTTGTTACAAACTCCTAGGCGACCGGGTTTTTCACAAAATTCTTTTCAAAAAAAAAAAATTCAAAAATATATATGTATATATTTTTGTTTTTTTTGTTTTTTTTTTTTTTTTGTCAAATTCCTGTTCCCATCTCTTTCTTAATGAAGTACATAGATACTTCATGCCTTTTTGGTCATAGCAACATTTATCATCACATGCCAATTTTAAGATTTAATTACTTAGCATGCTTCACAAGAAGTTTCAAAAAAAATAACATACTTCCTTCAACAAAATTCTAGCATGGTAAGCAAGTAAGACATGGAATTAAATTCATATAAGCGCATATTTCATGTAACACCAATTAAAACACATAGACACATATCTCATTACAACAATATGATCATTTCAAGGAAAAACTAACACAATTTAACATGCTTGACAACAAATCAAATAAGATGATTCATAAAGGAGCAAGAAAAAATGAATTAGGAACCCCTACCTCTATTTTATGCAAAACCCCCAATTTTCACCTCAAACCCTAAAAAAAAATTCAAAATGGGTCACAATTTTCGGACTCCCTAGAGTAGCCAAAAGCTGAAATTATCCTAAGTTGGGTCGGTGTGGAAGGGACTAGAATTCTCTAAGTTAAAAACCCTCTACATTATCCTAAGTTGAATTAATAGGACATGAACAAATGGCATTCTTAGTATATCTAGGACTTATATATTACACATCATAAAATTGAATAAAACTTCAAAAATGGTATTGTTTTAGAAGTGCAAAAAACACACCGTCCACTAACGCAACGCGTCTCCAATTCATTCTCTCTCTACACACTTCTAAAAACTTATAATTATCTAGTTCCTCAAAGTGCTTCCTATCTCATGTTATGAAATGGAAAACCATATGCACTTAAATTCACCCAATAAAAAACACACAACCTTATATGCACAATATATATATTTTTTCGAAGCAAGAACTTTATCAACAAAATTCTTATATAGAATTTAAAATACAGACCTTCTCAAGATTTTGTAGGGAAAAAAAAAAAAAAGCAAATCAAAATCCTAAAATTCAAGACAAATTTGATAACTTGTAACAAAGGCTTACAAGTAAGGTTGTTGTAATCAAAATCGGGCTCTAAAATCATGCCACATAAATGAAGAGAAGAAATCCATAGGGGAGCCTCTCGAGATTGATTTGCAAAGGATTGAAAGAACATCGAGGAGAAAGTGTTGGTGACAACGTCTTTAATGGATGGCGTCCATTCTTGTGCTCCTAAAACGACATCACTTTTATAATTTTATTTAATAAACTGATGTGGCATGATATAAACTGTTGATTTGTATACAACGTTATATGCCTATATCTTAGTAATTCAATTTAAGATAATGTAAAAAGTTTTTAACTTAAAGGATCTTAGTCCGTGTGGAAAACCCACCACATCACCAGATAAACTAATTGACGGTACTAATTAGCTTTTCTTGGGAACAAAGCATTCCAAAAGCAAAGCCAAAGTAGCAAATCAGCATTGTTCATTAAGCTATAACTTGACTTGACAGATGCATGAGAAAGGCAAATGGATGTTGGTGACTCGTAAGGAAAGGATAACACAAAAGAACGTCCACAAAGGGAAAGAGCTTCTGAAGCTGTGAAAAGAGAGAATTTCTTTTATGTTAGTAATAGTTTTCTGCTTGGATATCAATTGAGGCATAAATACATTGCATGATTCTACCTTCCCAACCTAATTTAAATTCTCTTATTGATGCACGGCCACCTCTAACTTAGCTCCCAAAAAATTTACAAAATTGTAAACAAAAAAACTTTCAAAATTGTCTAACAAAAAACAGTTACCTAAAATATGCAACTGACGGGGGATTTTTTTTCTTTTAAACTAAAGAATCACTAATGTAACTGTTGTAGGTAATCTTGTTTTTAACTGACGCACATGCTCTCTAGCAATTTCCATTGACATCACTATCCTTGGATGTTCGAGGTAAAACATAGGACGGGAATCAATTATTATCTTCTCCAATGATGGAGCAACCTCGAGTATGTGCATAATAAGATCAATTTCGCTGTTGCTTCCAACAAACCCAATTAATTCCACCATCTTAAGGCATTGATGATGACATTTAGTCGGCTTTTTTTCAGCATCTATTTGACCATCCCTTATTACCTACAAGCACCACAAGAGAAAACATTATTTGCAAATAAGGTTAAGAATATAACAAACTCTTAGACCACTACAGATTTGTAATTTCAGTACCTGTTCACCATTCTCAAACATATTCATCAGCCATAGAGGAAGATAGTCAGACAAAAACTACTTTACACAAGAAGATTAGATAAAATAAATAAGAAAAAACTACACAATGAATTAGAAGCTAAGAACTATGGTTGGTTAACACGAGAAGATTTGATTGAAAAGTAAATTGCATGTTGTTCTGCACTGAATTTGAAAGAAGCCAGTTGTATCTAATAACAATAAAAATTAAAAACTTTTCTCAATAATTTACCAAAAGGTTTCTAAGAAAATCAACAAATGAGCTTGTTTTAACATTCCCATGGTGATTCAAGTGCTCGTCTTTTCCCCGCAATGACGCGAGTTTGAGTCCCTAAATCAGCCTATCTAAAAGTAGGAGTAAGGCTGTCTACCATCCACCTCTTTCAGACCCTGCTAAATGTAGCAACCTACTGTACTAGGTAAAAAATTTTTTTTTTTTTTTTTTTTTGCAATGATGACTCAAGTAATGCCACCGGATTATGCTACAAACTATTGTGCCAAAAGCAATGTCACAATAACAAAAACTCAATTACATATTTGTAATCAATATTGGATATAACATGAGGAATCATCCATATAAACAATCCATCAAGAAACAACACCACAATTTGGTTAATTTCAATATGCCGGCAGAAACTGTCCCCTATTGCTTTAACTGCCATTTGAAAGATACAAAACACTCTAATAATAGCGACTCCCAGAAAGTAACTGTAGATTAGTAGCTGAGGTGGTTTATACTTCGTAAAATAATATTCATTACTATGCTACAAAAGCCTGAATCTTAACAAATCTCACTCACATTCTAATTCAATCTCTATTCATTGTCAATTATGAGGAAAAAAAATTCAATTCATGCTAAGGGGAGGATTCAAGTGAACAGTTCCCTATCAAATTTACTTCCACCAGTACAAGGATTTCGAATGTGTATAGGAACATCACAAAATTTAAACAATTTGAGTTTATTTCTCAGGGAAAGACCACGAAGCGCATCATGCAAGGTTTTAGGAATGGCAAAAAGAGAATATATTGATGTCCTTAGATTAACACCTTTTTTTTTCTTTTTTCTTTTTTTTGAGTAATATTTTTATTAAAAGGACTCAAAAGGGAGGCGCAGCTAAGAGAACATGTACTAAAAACAATAAGCTCCAAGCCAAAATATCCCCTATACCCTTGAACTATCCACAAAGGCTACAAAATCCTCTACAATCTATCCCACTAACCCAACAAAAAATAGAATAAAAAATAGATGATTTTAATATAAAATAGACGATTCCATTTCCTTTTCCTTCACACCACAAGCCCCACCAAATATAAAGGCGAATCACTCTCCATGCATCCTGGGCTAGCGACCTGATATACACCTGTTCCAAGCTTCAAGCATGCTCAACGTGGAACCTAGCAAGACCCAGCTAACCAAAAAGGGCAACAAACATGACCACACATCCCTAGCCACCGCAGAATGTAAGAGAAGATGATCAATCAATTCCTCATCCCTCTTGCACATGAGCACCAATTTAATTTGAAGCCTTGTTCTTATCGATTGTCAAGATCCTCCCAAGAACAACCATCCATCCAAAAAAAAAACCTTGAGGAAACCTTTGGTATTCTAAACTGCCCTACTAGAAAAGGCAGACCTTTAAGTTATTAGAAGCCTCTAGTAAAAAGAGCACAACTCGAACCTACCTTGCCTGGAATCATCCCAAACCCATACATCTGCCCCTCGCCTACCACCCTCTCATGGTACAACAACACCGAGAACCCAACAATATCTTCCACCTCCCAATCCTCGGGAGAGATCTCACAAACTACACATCCCATGTTGTCCTTCTGCTATCAAGGCTATAACAAACAGCTACCAAAACATAACCATCTAGAGATATCTTGAAAAACCTCAGAAAAACACTTTCTATTGGCCTATCCCCACACCCCACACCATGGATTAGACCAAAACCTAAAATGCCTCCCAAACCTCACCCTTAACCGAGTATGTTTGGAAAATTCAATTACGCCACCCCCAAATCCAATAAAAAGGTTAAAAACACAAGGGGATAAGATTTGTTGTCTTACCTTTGCAATTAGTGGCCAAAAGTACAACTTTGTAGCAAAATTTCTCTGTTCTAATAACATACAATCATATCTAACCAAATAATGAGTCCCATTTAAAGGTTATATCAAAGTAAAACTTTACAGAACTATTTATCCCCCCCCCCCCCCCAAAAAAAAATAATAATAATAATAATAATAATAATTATTATTATTATTATTATTATTATTATTTAACTGTACAGACCCAACACTAAAGTAATACAGTGGCATTAAGGTAGCTCGGATCCACTATCCTTTGTGCAATGGTAAAAGGCCAAGCTATTCTATTGTGACCACTGTTTTAAGGCCAATAGTAACCACTTTATTTATTAATATGAAAGGTTAGATTTGCACCTAGTCTGCCTTTCCAGCACCTTACCCTGGTGGCTAAGCAATAGCCTTTTTCAGTAGTTTTTCATTCTAAAACCATAGCGACTTTACAAGCAAGAAGATAATTTCTCAGCTTAATTGGTACCGTTAATTGTGTCAAACAAAATCTGAGAAATTATATACACCCACAATAAAGAACAAAGTTGCTGACATTTTGTAGATGTAATTAACTTTATTTAAAGGACAAAAATCCCCTTGAACCAATTTTACACAACCAAAAATATGTCTATCCTCTATCCGTATCTTTAGACTCTTCACCTCTCTATAACATTTCATCTCTACCTCAGAAACTTTATAATGTCTGGCCTATAAATTTTATTTTTGGCATCCTTTAAAGACCCATCATTTTTCATTGGAACAGGACCATCAACCAGATTAAGAAAGACCCACGGTAAAAATGAAGAAAATTGGACAGGTATAAAATTTTTTCTCTCTTCAAAAATCAACGTCTGCAAACACAAATCCTTCAATCCAATTCCAATAGGACGCTATCTAAGCATATTCAAGAGAAAAAGTAACTATACAACACGTAACAAATGACACTTCAACAATCATAATACGTTCAAAATAGCTCAAGAAAATATTATTTTACTTATGCAATCAAGAAAGCTGATTTAGGAGAACTATCCATGCCCTGTAAAATTACTCAAAACATAGACACTGTCATATCATATGCAAGAGAGAAGGAAAAGCAACTCAAAAAGATCCCTTTATTACTGGTGTGTCTATATTGCAACAAAGAGTGAATTCCATAATTTCACCACACAAACAAACACAGATCTCAATAGAATGAAATACATGTATAAATATATCGAGTCGAGACTATATATATGCATGATCTCAAGAGAAACAGTTTTGCCATAAAACAAGAAACCAATAATTATAAAAACTATATATATGTATGTAAATATATATTTGTATGCAAGATGAAGGAAAATAAAAGGAGAAAAATATTTATTAAAAGCAAAACTAATTTCTAAATCTATTAAAAAATCAAAAAGAAAACCAACCTCCATGAAGTGATATATTAATAAATGTAAGATAAGGCTGCAACTTGGGCTGGGCCAGCCCGAATTTACCCGAGACCAGGTCGAAATTTTCAGGGCCTGGGCAGTATTTTTCTGTTCTAGGTCTGGGCTTGGGCTAGATATTCTGAGCCCGAATTAAATTTGGGCTGGGCTTAGGTTGATATTATATAAAGCCCGAAGCCTAGCCCGAGCCCGGAAATGGTATATTTATTTCAAAACTATGTTATTTCACAAGTATATAATAGCTTAGTTGGTAGTGTGTTTGGGATTTTTCTTGGAGGAATGTGAATTTGAGTCCTTGTAGCTACACAAATTTCTTATTTTTTACATTCTGAATACAGAGGCGTGGGCTCATGGACAAGCTTGGGCAGGGGAAGTTAATTATGGGCTGGGCTTTGGTGGCTGGGACTGGGCTTTAGGCAGGCTCAGGCTGGGCTTGGGCAAAAGATTTTGTACATGGGCTGAGCCTAAATTAAGTCTCCAACCCGCCCAACCCTCCCGAGTTGCAGCCTTAATGTAAAAGGGTAAGTACATGGATATACGCGGAGACACACACATACAGAACAAAAGTAGAGGGTATTTTGGTCCAAATTGTAATGGGTATATAAGTCATTACAAACAACTAGAAGGGTACGACTCTTGCAAATTTAACACTTAAGGGCAGTTTGGTCACTTCAGTGCATTTTTGCAACCCATCAGATGATCACTTGAGGGCGGGGGGAAATCTGTGATTTTTTCAAAACCTTAGGGAAGGTTGACCACCATTTTGATCAAAGTTTCATCTGAGAGTGAAAAGGTGAAACAACGGGGAAGGTGAAGGTAATTCATCCTTATCAATTTAATAACTTTATTTAGGTACAACTTACTTATTGATATTATTCACATTCTAGTAACACATTGTAATACTTCCAACTTTTTTTTCATTTGTGATCACATTTAGGCTAAGCAAGATAACAGTGGGTAGGATCAATGGATTCTTTATAAAATTATGTTTCCTGATGATATTAGATATATTTTCCTTCTCCTTTCTTGTCCCTTATTTCCTTTTTTCATAATTGAGGACAATTTAAGATATTTTCCTCTCTTTCAAATTCTTATATTTCTCAGTCTCTTGGACTAGTTTGGTGTGGTTGAATGAAATAAAGTGGGAATGTTTCCATGTTTGATTGTACAGAAAAACATCCTATTATTGTAAAACATATATAAATATGTGTGTGTGTATATATATAGCCAACATTTCATTAAGTGCTTTTTTTATTCGTTTATTTATTATTATTATTATTTTTAAAGTGGTAATAGAATGGTCATTCCTTTAGTTAAAAAGTGGAATGAATTAGTGAGAATCACCAAACTTTAAAGTAAGTTACCAAACTAAAGAATGGAAACAAAAGTATTCCATTCCCACTTCATTTGATTCCATTCACTCACACCAAACTTTAAAGTAAGTTACCAAACTAAAGAATGGAAACAAAAGTATTCCATTCCCACTTCATTTGATTCCATTCACTTACACCAAACATGACCTTATCCCATTCCATTCTGTGTCTACTTTTCCCCACCACTTGACGCCTAGATGTGGTAAATTCAAAAGGCCTCTATGAAACATTTTACTTAGGTTACTCAAATCGTATAAATACAAAACCACAAAGTTCTCAAAATTAAGTGTGTATTTGTAACGGCATTTTTTTAGGAATGCATTGCTTTCAATTTGTATCTTCTTCATCTTCAACTTGTTCTTTAAATTTAATTAGGGTCAATTTTTTTTTCAGTAAGAAATCAAGTTCGATATGTTTCCTCTTTTAAGTTCTAGATGGAAATTTACTTGCAGAAGCGAGAATGGCAGGGTTATGGTCCCTTTCACATCCTCAGCCTCTTCAACAAAGATCTTACATTCTATCATATATGTCTCTCTCTGCTTTCACCACTCTCTCTCCTTATCAGTCTACATTTATAGTCTATTTAAAATCATACACATAATTTTAAAAAATCAATAATAATACTTCCATCAGCAAACATTACCTTAAGATTACAAAAAAAAGGATACTTACCCAAACAGAAAACTTAGACAAATTAGGAGATGACTTAATCACGGAAGTAAAGCTAAGAAGGCTGCAACCAGTAGATCCCGTGATAGACCATTCCACATGCTTGAGATTACCTAGCTCACGGAAATATATGGGGAACCAAAGAAACTCCTACCAAAAGTAAGCACGAGTTAGTAATGATGTTTACAGAAGAAGAAGAAGGCATACTACCACAATGATTGTGTATTCTAACCTGAGAACACACTTTTAACTTGAGCTTTTCTATTTGAGGAATATAGCTGGAATGCTTGCAAGATCCCTAACAAAGGATGAACAGAATTGTCCTACAATAGATAGCTCAGAAAGAAGAGGAACGTTTTTAAAAGGCGCACTTATATCTTGTCCCATGTAGGTGAATAAAACAAGATTTGTTGCAGAAATTTCCAGATTTTCCAAATGCAAGCAGTGAGATCTCTAAGCACTTCAATTTGAGTGATGGGCCTGCAATTTTTAGATTCACTAGACATGTTGTACCCACAATGCATAATTATTCAAGAAATGGACAGTTGGATAGGAAATTCTCAAGCATCTCCTCCATGATATTAACACCGACCAAACGAAGGGCTGTCAATAAACTAAAGCCAGCTGCAGAACCAATACTCCCTAACACATGATGACTGTGTGAAGTCCTAAATAAGTTTTCCATGCTTGGAAAATCATAATATTGACGCCGACAAGTGGGTAAAGTCTCGGCAAACACATTGAATTCAAACCTTTGAACTCTCTTTTCTATTGCAAACTCGATCCAATCATCGATATCATGAGGGTAGTGCTCAACGAAATTAAAAGAAATCCTCATTCATCTATAGAGGAGCCAAGATGCAATTTCAAGACTTCATTCACACAACTTAGTACGCCTTTTTCCATGTTCACGTAAATGTTCACGGTTACGTGTACGCATGCGTTCACATATATGTATAGGTAAACGGTCAAGTACACGGTCAAGTTCATGGTCACGGCTACATTCACAGCCAGGCTCAAGGTTGAGGTCACGTTGAGGAAAAAGGTCAAGTATATAGTCAAGTACACGGTCACGGTCACGTTCAGATGATGAAGTAACATTATCTAAAGGATCTCTTAGTAATGTCTTTGAATCGAAGTTGAAACTAGCAGTTATATATCTCCATAAATATCTCCATCTGCTTGAGAGAATACTAGTCCATGCAGCTTCCTTAAGCGTTAAAAGAGACAGGATGGTAATAAGGATTTCATCAGGCAATCCACTGATTCCATCCTTAATATGCTCTTCTCTCTGAGCATCCAAATAATTGTAAACACAATAATAATAAACCATCATCAACAAAAATAATGAAACCAATATTCTATTATTCTACTAAAAAAATTAAGTACAAGCATACATACATTAAGTACTCATACTACTTTGTCAAAAATTTAGTAACACCACCTAAGGAGTACGAATTTTCTCCCTCTCTTATATTCTATATATATTTTATAATAATATATATCTTTTTTTAATGAAAATAACTCTCTATATATATATATATATATATATATATACACACACACTTATATGCATATACATTATATTGTAAAGGGACTTTTACAGTAAAGTGGTCTTAGTGTAGGTATATTACCCACAGCCAAACGTAGTTTACATATTTACAAATACATGAACTAAGTTCTATTTTAGCCCTTTATAAAGCAAAATTTATATTTTCACCCCTAGGAGTTTAATTTATGCACAATTTACCCAAAGAACAACTTATTCAAGTATTATAATTTTGTCAAACAGCACTTAGGAACTACTACATAGCTTTAGAATTAGAAGACACAACACATAGTCTACAAAGAAGAATTGAAGAACTTAGATCTAGAATTATATTAATACAAAATATTTTAGAAGCTAGACTGCAACGATTTTAGTTTATGAATAGATTTGACTTTAATAATTTAGATACTTCTATAAAACGATTAGGAGAAAATTTAGATTATATTAAAGAATAAGTAGTGCAGAATTCTAGTCCAAATAATTTGGATAACAAGATAATATTAGTCGCAATTAAAGATATCAATAGTGATATTAAGAATATTGCTGAAAATCAGAAAATAATCCTAAACTCTTTAAAATCCTTAAAACCGATATCCAAAAATTATTACAATAGTTTTATGAGCACCAGTAGTCCTGATTATTTAACCGCGTTAGCTGAACTTTACAAAATTGATAAAGAACCTATAAGATTTACTAGCTTTAAAACAGACGTACAGTCAACTAATATACATATTAGACAAAATAACTTTTTAATTCAGTTATTACTCCAGTTATCTGATAAAGTTAATAAACTTGAAGAGAAATTAGAAGTAATACAAGAAAGTATTCCCAGAGAATCTTCCAAAGAATTATCAGATAAAATAAAAGAAATAAAATTGTCACACCAGTCCTCTCCTAGAACAACCAAGCGTGTAAATTTATTACAACCTCAACCTTATAAGCAAATACCACAATGGCCATTATCCTTAGAAAAGCCAAAGAAATAATGAGAGTAGAAGATTTATCTGATAATGAACATGATGCTAAAAAATATATAGAACAAGGAATGAAAAAGGTAAAAAATAAAGTTAATCTTTATTATAATAATCTATTATATTTTCAGAGCAAGTTATATAATCATTTTAGCCAAAGAAAAATAAGTGCAGATAACAATCAAATTATTTTAGACCTTATAACACCCAAAGCATGCCAAGAACTAAATGATAATAATTTAGAACTTATGCATTTAGGCGTCATAATGATAGGATTAGTAGGATTAAACATAGCAGAAATCGGAACTAGAGCACTTGCTTATATTTATGATGACCGATGGAATAACCATCAACAAGCAGAAATAGCCAGCGCCGAAATAGACTTAGTCGACAATGCCGTAATAGTAGGATGTATTCCTAATTATACGATGACTACTAGAGAATTCAGTAAACATATTAAGATAGCTATATCTACAAAAGGATATAATATGACAGGACAATTTGAAAATCTATTAGTTAATACTTTATTTATGGGAAAGGCAGTTAATCAGTATAACTTAAAATTTAAAGCCTAATTTAGTGAAATAGTTAAACCTTTTAGTAGCAAATATGTCCATATGATAGAAGCCAGAAAGGTAAACAGTATTACCCATGAAGGAACATAATGGAAATAACCTAAACTTACTACTACACCTAAAAAGATTCCCGAAAATAATATGATATATGTTTCAAATAGCGGAGATGCTAGCATAAGATTTAGTAATTATAAAAGACAAGACAATTTAGTTGAGATACTCAAGAAGACTTTTTAACTACACTAATAGAGAAAGAATCTCCTAAGGAAATAAATGTCCTTTATGATAGATTAGAAGATGAAATTCTAGATAAAATAATGTATGATTTTGATAATTTAGAATTAGAAGCATTGCAAGACAAGTATCCAGAACCTAAATACCAACTTATCGAAAGTATTTATTTAGGACAAGGAAATAATGATGATATTAAGAAAAATATTCTAATTGTCGGATTTGAATCATTTTATACAGCATTAAAATTAAACACAATAAAAGAAGAATTAAATGTAATAGAGCATAGAGAAGGGAAAACACCGGAAGGAACAGGCTCTCAGTCAATCGACCAAGAAATGAGTGACCAAACAAAGACTAACACCTCAGGTAGTAATACCTTAAGTGATGACTTTACTACTGGACAAAGATTAAATCCTTCACGTGAAACTTATGTAGAAAATAGAAATATACCAGATATTTATACATTAACCCAATATCGTAGACAATATGATAATATACCAGCACAACCATCAGGAACAATATTAGACATAGCAAGACACGATCCCCACTGGGCAAAGGTAATCGAAAATTGGGAACAAGATTATATTCGGCAATCTATTTTGACCAATTTTGACAATAGAACTCAAGCCTTAACCTATTGTGAAACCTTATTAAAAGGAACCATTCATGACTGGTGGCAGGCTTATAAAGTAATTTATCCCAATGATTATGCCATCTTACGTGATAATTTTATCATTCAAGTCTTTACCAGCCTCATTAAAAAATTATTAGTAGGTGAAGATAGATTATTAGATGACACCTTAATAAAACAAAACGAAGCCTTACGTAATTTAGAATTATTACAGATCTGTGATTTTAGATACATAAAGAACTACACCAATAAGTTTTTTGAGTATTTTGCAGCCACTGGGAAAACCGGTGATAAAACATTACTTGATCGATATCTTCAGAAGTTACCCGGAAGCGTAGGAACTAAAATATGGGAAAAATGGTTAGAAAGTCCTAGACGCGATACGCTAACCATAGGAGATAGAGTTAATCATGTATATAACATGTTAAAAGTAGAATGTCGACAACGTAAAGAGTTTAAACAAATCAAAAAATAATTTTATTATACGTGTAGACAAATAGATTTTCCACCCCAGTATGGGTGTATGCCTCAGAAAAATCACAATTACAAGCATAATAAACCTAAAAAATACAATCTGCGTAAAAGCAAGACCTACAAGAACTTTCGCAATAAAAAATCATATGTCAGAACTAACCCTAGGCAATTCAGAAAGCGGCCTTGGTATAAAAAGCAAAAGATAAATAAAGATAAAAAGGACAACAAAGACAAGGATAATAAGGTAAACACTTTACCCACAAAAGACAGACACTTCAAATATTTTATTTGTGGAAATCCAGGACACATTAGACCAAATTGCCCTCATCGATACAAACAGAATCCTACTAAAAGGATACAAGAAAAGATCAACATCCTTGAAGATATTGAAGAACATATAGAGAAATTATATGAACTAGAAAGTATTTATGACTCTGACGATGATAATGAAAGTATTTATAATATCGAGAGCTTAGATAGCAACTTTGATAATGATGAAGACTTTGAACAAGGGCTTCATTCACTAGAAGATTTCGTTCACACTATAAGTAATCCATCATGTCAGTATAGCTTAGTTAGTTTTAAGTTTTCTTCTTATAATTACAAACAGTGCAATACATCTATAAAAAAAATGTCATTACTGTAAAAACCATTGTAAAACGCTACTATCTCATAATTGCTATACAAAATATGAAAATAAGTAAGAAGATATTTTAGTTGAATCTATAAATTCAATGTATAAACCATCTAGTCTAATTCGATTCCCAGTAACATTAGAATTTAGAGAAAAATTAGTTCAAACTTCAGCTATGCTTGATACTGGAGCATCTAAAAGTATAATTCAAAACATTTAATCCCTGACGAAGCCTTAGTAAAGTTAAATTATAATGTTAACATCAGCCAGTATAATAATGAAAAACTTCCAATAACTCATTGTGTTCAAAACATTCCTATATTAATTAATAATGAAAAGTTTGTTTTACCCCAGACTTATGTAGTTAATAATATTCCTAGCACCTATGATTTCATCTTAGGATTAAATTTTATAAACTCACTTACCGGAGGATTTATGTGTACCCCTACAGGTTACAGTTTTTTAAGAAAGGAACTTTTATTCCATCTAGAGATCCTTATATTCCTCAAAAAGATAAAAGAGCCATTACATATGTTAATACTTTACCTATGACAGAAGAAACGACAGAAAAATTATTTGATGTATTCGAATTTTTAGAAGACGTTTCTGAAGCCTTAATGTTTCTTAGTCATCTTGATGAACCAAAGATTTTTCTTAATAATAAAGTTATATTAAAAAAAAAAACCCAAACTAAACATTGATAATCTCATAAGATTAGCTGAAACCACAGAAATTTTAGGTGAAGACTGTACTACCCCTAATTTTAAAAAGGATAGTCCTGGCATTTATTTTAATTATGTATGTGTGTTTTTAATAAATTTATTGTTTAAATTGTATTTTGTTTGTTTAAAAAAATTATTATTTGCTGGATTAATTGCATTACTTGAATTAAATTGTTTTAAATACTTGGTTAATAAATTATTTGCTTGATTATTTGCATTTCGTGAATTAATTGTTTAAATAAAACTGTTTTGGGTTAATTGATCATTTAATTATGTTTCGTAAGTTTTTTTAATTACGTGCTTATGTAATTAACTGTTTTAAAATTTAGCGTTTAGTTTATTTAGCTGACACAGGTTTTAATTATGTTCTATGGGCTGGTTAGGATTTAGTTAGGGCTTGAATTAATTTAGGGTTTGGTATAACTCTATAAATATATAGGTATACGTCTGCCTAGGGTTTTTGGTAAACCCTACTCACCACCTTCAATAACAGAGTCACGTAATAGAATCAGACAGAAAGTTGTGAGGGCAGAGAAACAGAGAGGGAGCTTTTGTGGTTTACAGAGAGAAACATTAGGAGATTAAGGAACGGATTCAAGGAGGAGTTCTGGTCTTAACTAGGAGTGGCAGAGGTTGATAACAACAAGTTGACGTTACCGGAATTTATAGAGACGATAGTTAGAGTTTTTGATTCAAACTCTCAGAGGCAAGTCTTGTTCTTCTCTATCTCTTTAACCTGTGTTCTGTGCATGTTTAGGAAGACTCCAGGAATTAAACTAATGCTTAAACAATCTATTTTGCATGTTTAAACTGATAATTAACTTCGTTGAATGGAACTGTTTTACCAAAATTCTTTAGGTTTCTGTTAGTTGGTTTTCTCCTGTAACATGTTTATTTTCTTGTTTAATTGAGATCAACGATTCATATGGTTGCCTAGTAATTAATCTAGGACTGAGTTTGAACCCTAGAACAGGTGCTTAGAATAATATTTAATTGCATCAAATTAATCTGAATTAAATCTGTCGCAGCTTGCTTAAAATTGGTTAACTGAGGTGTTGTAATTGTTGTTTTAAAACTTGTGTTCCTACACATGTTAGGATTGGATCTCAGTGGTTTAAACTTATTTAGGACTAAGATTGAACCTAGAATAAGAATTAGAACATACCACATAGGCTCTGTAATCACCGGAGTTTGAGAAAACGAAGCTGGAACGGGCAACGGCTGCAAAAGAGAAGGAGCAGGCTCTAAAATTTCCTTAGAGCCGGCTCAAAAATGATGGAGCCATCTCTATTAGGAACTTGGAGCCGGCTCAATGCTGAAGGAGCCGGCTCTAACCTAAAAATGGAGCAGGCTCAATGTTTTAATTGAGCCTGCTCTTTCTTGAAATGCACTAAAATGAGTTTTAAGGCCTGTTTAGGCTGCACAGTGTTTTCTAAAGCTGTTTAAAAACTACTGTGAGATGTAATTAAATGTTAGGGACTTAAATAAATATTGAAAACATTTAATACAATAATGGTTTAGGGAAAGGAGCAATGAACAACACAAACAATGGCTATACGTTGCGCTGTTTTTGCTAGGTTTATATGACGGGAACTTGGCAAAGTTTTTATATATAATTCAATTATATATAATCCTATATTTTTATAATGTTATAAGTATGGCGAATTAATTATATTTAACTATACTTAATTTGGATTTAATTGATATTTAATTTGTTTAATTTGTATCAATTTATGGATTGTTTTGGAGGATTTAAACGCTATGATTTATTTTAGCAGTTTAAATGATTGGAGCATGATATTTAGGTTTTTTAATGAATACCTAATATTGATATATGTATGAATTTATACAAATGCATATTCTGGAGTATGGTTGTTGATTATATAGTGTTATTTTAATAACTATGCTATATGGAGGATTTGTATGTACCGGTATGGGACTGTGACATACTAGGTATGGATTAGTCAAACACTAAATCCTACCTAAGTTGGATTAAGGTATAGATTAACCCTATGAGTTAAGTCCATCACCTACTTGTGTCATGTCAACAAAATAGTTGAATGACTTAATATGGTTTCAGGACGGATGGATATACATATACCAGATCACTACACAGATGGATGGTATCTTGTACTAGGAGGGGTATGGACTTTATATATTTATTTTATATATCATGGTATGATCTTGAGTCTTAGGACCATGGTTAGGGTGCGTATATCGCCTAGGATGGATAGCTGGACAGAGGTATTATTCCCTGGTAGGTCTAGATACACATGACCACAGTATGTGCAATTTGCATGGTATCTCTATTCAGGCTGAGACAAACCTTTTTGGACTAGTGAGCGTCCTATAGTGTGTACTATATACATATATGGACTACTCTAGATATTGTTGAGTCTTCTTAGAATGTATCTGCATATCGAATTACTGTTTGGATTGTAGTAGATCAGGACTTGCATGTGGGCCTGACCCACTTCTTTATTTTTCAGGTGCTCGTCAGTTCCAGGGTTAGGGTTTGGACGTGCAGAACAGATATAGCTATTCATTCCTCCGATTATGTAGGACTCTTCTCTATGTTAGCTTTGGATTATATTTTTTTATTATTTCAGTATCTTTTGGAGAATTTTAATAAGGGGTCCAATGGATGGATTCCCGAGTTGTAAACTTATGGAGTTTTGGATTATCAGGTTTTAAGTATTTAATTATAAAGGATTTTATTTCTAGATTCTTTCAGCTTATTATTTTTATTTCTTATTTTATCGTGTATTCTGTGTTCGGTTATATATTAATTGTTTGATATCCCTTGGGTTTGAGCCTGGGCTTGATCAACCAGTGTCTCGGATCTAAGGGGTATCACAGAGACCCCAGAAACCCTGGTATAAAAATAAAATTGAAGCAAAATTAAATATAATAAATCCTTTTATAACTATAAAGACACAAGATAATCCTCGTACCTTAGACGATCAAGAGGAATTCCAAAGACAAATTATAAAAGATTAAATGATAATACATATGATAATAGTTATAAAATCCCTAATAAAGATGTTTTAATAAATCGAATCCAAGATAGAAAATGGTTTTCTAAATTTGACTATAAATCAGGATTTTGGCAAATCCGAATGGCCGATGAATCCATTGAATGGACAGCGTTCACATGTCCTGAAGGACATTATGAGTGGTTTGTTATACCTTTTGGATTAAAAAATACGCCACAAGAATTTCAGCGTAAAATTGATACTATATTTAATAAACACTCAAAATTTTGTTGTGTTTACATCGACGATATCTTAGTCTTCAGTCAAACTAAAGAAGAGTATAGAAAACATCTTGAAATTATATTCAATGAGTTTATAAAATAAGGACTCATTATAAGTAGTAAAAAGATGATATTAGAAAAACAAGATATTGAATTCTTAGGTTTATACATAAAAGGTAGAAAAATAGAATTACAATCTCATATTGTTAAAAAGATTTTAGATTTTCCTGATAAATTAGAAAAAACCAAGGTGTTACAAGTATTTTTAGGATTATTAAACTATGGTCGTAATTTTATTCCCAAATTAAGACAATTAGTAAGACCTTTATATTCAAAACTAGGAAAACATGATCAAAAGTATTTCAATACCCAAGATATAGAGTTAGTTAAGAAAATTAAATCTTTAGTCTCTCAATTAGAACCTTTACAACTCCCACTTGAAAAAAGTTATAAAATTATTCAAACAGATGCATCAGCTCAAGGATGGGCAGGGTTACTTCTTCAAAGACCAACAAAAGAGTCTTCCCGAGATGAAGAACAAATTTGTCGCCATGCTAGTGGAACTTTTAATAAAGCACAATCTATTTTACCCTCAACAGACTTAGAAATTCTAAGGGTAACCAACTCTATTAAAAAATTTCAGATTTTCCTTGATAAAGAATTTCTTATACGAACGGATTGTGATAATATAGTTAAATTTGCAAATAAAGCAAAACAACAGCGGATGTCTGCTAAGCGATGGATTTCATTTATTGACTGTATTACTGGAAGAGGTTTTAAACCTATATTTGAACATGTCAAAGGGAAAGATAATTATTTAGCAGATATTCTATCTCGTTTACTAATCGATTGTTAAATTTTGCAGGAATAGAGATCAAGATCAACAATATATATAGCCTTATACCAGGCACTTCTAATCCTCTTTTAATTATCCAAAACCCAGCTCAACAGTTCCGCGCTAGACATAATCTTTTTCCTGACCAAAAACTTATTTTAGATAATATTTGGTTTTCGAGAAACAACCCCGATAGAACCCTCGTCAGAAATCTAAACACCTTAAGTGAATATTTCGTATCATCTAATAAAGCATATCAGAATTTACAACAAGAACATGAGACGCTCATATCTCATTATAAAAAGTTAAATTTAGCTTATCAAAAGACGACAGCAAATCCCACAGAACTAACTATTTCTGAGTAACGGACTAATGAAGATGAAAATCTTCAGAAGGTTCAACTTTTACAGGTACAAACCAAGTATGCCAAGTTATTACCCATATTTTCTCCCACATACAGAGAAATCCTGAGACAACAAGTTGAGCTCTTTCCAGATGACATCAAAGATCTTATCCTTGAAGAAATTAAGTCAGATGGGCTCAAGGAATTGGTTGATATCCAAAATTACCTCAGATACAACAGTCCACCCAAAGGCACCCGTTATAACTATACTTTCATACGATTAATACAAACAGGCACTGACATACCAATAGCCATTATCTTATTAGATATAGACCCTATTTTCTTTATTCCTTTTGAAATACCCAGAAAAACCCTTTTCTCTACCAAAACAACCATTTGTTATTTAAGCAAGCTATTAGAACTAGGAATGATCTATAGTGTATACCCAAGGATACTCCCTTAGAATATCTAATTTCTTTATGTAATTTTCCCAACCGTTTAAACCAAGCCATTACCTTCGAACAGAAACTAACCCAAAATTTTATTCCAGAAAGTCCAATTTTCCTTCAAATTCACAGTACTCCCCCAGAATGGGTAAAAGATGGAGCTATAATTTTAGGATAGCATCAAATTTACATTCATTCTGATCATACTGAAGTCAAAATTCTTACCCAACATGTTGATTTTGTAAATAACTTTCGCAATGAGATTGAACCAGCCACCTTTAACCATTTGGTGTACTATAAAGCTTATCGACAAATTAACCCAAGCTACAATCCTAGTTTCAGACTCTATGATCATAATATCAACATGGAAATATTTGTTAAAGCAAGAATTCCTCATGTCATTAAGTCTCCTCCAGAGATTGAGATATCCCCAGAAGTTGAAGAAATAATAAATGAAGAAAATATGTTGTTAGAACAGTTTAATCTTGCCTATAGAAATGAAGAAACCAGCTCACCAGACAGTACTGATGAATACCTGGCCCGCAGGCATGCCAGAGCAAGAGTTAACAGCCCAACAGATAGCACTACCGACAGAAATTTGTCCAATATGCAAAAATTCTAGAGAAAAACAAATTCTCCACAGTATACAGAAAAAGCAGCCTCGGTATTCAAGAAAAGTAGATTCTCAATAGTGTACAGTTAAAAGCAGATCCACTGGAAGCAGATTCTCAACAGCAAAAGCAGAAATAATTCTCCAGAAGACTACATTAACAGTTCAGCAATAATTCAGGATATCTTATCTCTAAAGCATCTTAAATCTCAACCATCCATGTAGCATCTTCAAGCTCAACCGCCGATTCATCCCTCTCTCCTGCTATAAAAGGAGCCTCTTTGCTCAAGAAAGGATCATCGAGTTTTAGAGCCATCAAGTCTCAAACCATCAAGCATCCCAGCCTTCTGTTTCCAGTGTGTTTTCTTTTGTGACTTCCTTCAGTATATTTCCTTTGTAACATTTTGTGAGAGTGTATCCATGTATAAATAGTATGTATCCATGTATATATTTTTCATAAAATAAATCATCCAGTTTGCTCCTGTTCAACAAATTTCTTTTCCTTATTTAGTATTTTCAGTACTTTCGGGCAAAAGACTTCTGTCGACAAATAGATCAAATATATAGATTTTATTTAGCCAGACAGTGTAAATCTTAAAATTTTCTTGAATCTAACCAGTACAAGCAGCCTTAGTTTTAATTTATCAATTTCTTCTGTGAGTTAACTCGAACTGTTGGCTTGTTGGCCTGTTCTTTACCGGTGTTCAAGCGTTTCTACAGGACGTTATCAGAGCGTTATCAGGTTCGGCAATCATTTCTATGATTTAATTGTTAAATTGATTCTATGTTATTTTGCATGCTTTTATCCGGTTAGATCCAACTCAATTTTGGTATCAGAGTTATACTGTTTCGTTAAATTTAATTTATATATGCGATCTTTTGTCTAAAGAAGTCTATAAGTCTTTATTAAGAAAATTAATATATATATATATATATATATATATATATATATATATATATATATATATTGAATATTTTGTTCAAAGACCTTGCTGTAATTTTATTTCACGATCTAAGGCTTTGTTGTTATATTAAAATATTACTTTGGGTCATTTTGATAATATAAATTCTTTTGTGGCATAAAGTATAAAGTGGAATCCATTTTAGAGAAATATTCTCTAGATCTCTAGGTCAATCCTTTTAATAAAAATTAAGACTTTATTTCCATTTTTGAGTAACATTTGGGCCTTAAGCCTATGTATTAGTAATAATCCCTATTGTAAACATATGTTACTATATACCATACTTATAATGTGCCCCCTAAAAAAAATTTCTGGCTCCCTCTCACGGTAACCACCACACTAACAATATCCAAAAGAAGTTTCGGGTTGTTTGTGTAAGCCATTACTTTTTTATTTTTTTATTTTTTTGTTGTTATGTAAGACAAACTCCCATTGGTCCGACTCAAACCTCAATTTCCCATATGGGACGAGAAGACTTGAAATTTGAACTACAAAATCCAAAATAATAATATAAAAAATAAAAATAAAAACTTGACAGCATTTAATTTTTCCTGACAACAATGACTTTTTTCGGGTGCTTGGAATAGAACTCTCCATGCTGTTTGTACTATCTTCCTCCATTCTAACGATACAGTTGTGGACAGGGCCGGCCTTGGCCAAGGCGACCAAGGCGGTCGCCTAGGGACTCAAATTTTATAGGCCCATGTATAATGGGCTACAAAAGAAAAAAAAAAAATTGTAACTAAATGTACCAAATCATTTAAGAAGCCTCAAATTTTATAGCCCATTAATGTTGGGCTCCCAAAAAAAAATTTATAACCAAAATGCAACAAATAAAGGACCTCAAGAATGATGGGCCACCAAAAAAAATTCTAACCAAACCGTAGCAATTGAAACTCGCTTCCAAATTTAGGGCCATCAAAATGGAGCAAGAATGATGGACCAGCCTCCAAATTCAGCAAGAATGATGGGCCATCATTTACTGCTAAGGCCTCACATTTAAAATTCGTATGGAGCCGCTTAAGAATTTTTCTATCTTAGGCCGGCCCTGGTTGTGGATAAATAATTTATTTCACTACAAATACTGCAAAACCAAAACCAACAACACAATCACAAAAGAAAACAGACAGAACATATAAAACCATGAAAATAAGCGAAGAACAAACGAAGATTACAGATTATCATGCCCTGACAAAATTCAGGCCAATTCTTCACAATTAAGATAACAATATGCTTGCTTGCTTGCTACGATCATTCAGAGATCTCCATAATAACAATGATTCAGAAGTTAAAAAATCAGCAAATTGTAACATGGACATATATATATATATATATATATATATAGACACGCACACACATGTGCAGAGATATATGCTATATATATCGTCTTCCCCTTCCCCAATATTATCTTCTTCTATGCCGATCCGAAATTTCCGGCCCAACAGACTTTGCGAACTTATCTCCCTGTCAATCATAGTTTGGTCAGAGACTTTGCGTCAATTGGATACAAATATATACCAGTACTATTCTTCGTATTTTGGGGAAATTGCATAAAACCCTTTTAGTTTTAATTTTTGGCAAAAACTCCCCTCTAAAAAAGAAGTTGCCATAAAACTACCTAACTAGTTTGGTTATTGCAACACTGCACCCTCAGTACAAAAAATAAAAAAATCCTTTTGTGGGATGAAATTGCCCCTCGCAATCAGACAAAAATGCATCTGAAGGCCTCTTTTTTTTTTTTTTTTTTTTTTTTTTTTTGTCTTAGTAATAGAAACAAGGTCACTTTAAATATATTTAAAAAAAAAAAAACAAAAAAAAACTTTTCGCTAGTACATAATGTTTTCTTAATAATTTAAAGAGTAAAGTGTCAAAAAAAAAAAAATCCCCTCAACTATCCAATGGGGTAATTGAGTGGATGAAAAATCACGCCACATATTTTTTAGACAAAATTGCCCTTATTCCTATTATATAGAGCAAATTGCATAAAATTACCTCTATTTTAAATTTTTAATAAGAAACCACGATGAAAAAAAAAGTTGACATGCATAAATTCCCTAACTATACAATTTGTTGCAAAGTAGTGTTATAATGACAAAAATACCCTTAATAAACCTTTAATAAAATGGTGCCTCCTAATATTAAATTAAAATAATTTATTTGGTATAGTGCTAATAATAAAAAATAAAAACTTAAATGGTGCATCCATAAGAAAATAAAAGTACCTTGGAACAATTTTCAATTTTTTTAAAAATTTTTATTTTAAAAAAATTAAAAAAGAAAAGAAACTAAATATAAAAATCATTTTAAAGTAAACCTAAACTTTCTTAAATTTATAAAAAGTAATGCTATAATGATTAAAATTTTATTTTATATTAGGGAAAATTTTGTTAATATAAAATGATTTAAATTTCATTAAATTTGTAAACCATAAAATTATAGCATCACATTAATTATAGCACCATTAACAAATGTCTTGATAGCTCAATGGATTAGTGTAGCGGGTGAGTGCTTACCTATTTACCCAAAAGGTTAAACTATTAGATAGTGGTGCATACCCACCCATTTATATCCAATCACTCTCCCATCCGGATCCGATATGGGACAAATCTCCCATTGTAACATTCTTCCCCACTCAAACTTGCAACGCCCTCTTTGCGATCGGGTCATCATGCCTACATGAGTGGCTCACTCGGACACCTTCTGGGTCAGCGCTTGGCGGGGCACCGAATCAAGGATTGGATCTGACTCTAATACCAACTGTAACGGGTGGGCGCTTGCCCATTTACCCAAAAGCTTAAGATGTTAGGTAGTGCTGCATATCCACCCAGTTATACCTAATCACTCTCCCATCTAAATTCAATGTGGGGCAATTCTCCTTTTGTAACAATTAATACATTCGCTGGATTTTGGAGTATCAGGCTTCGACTCTCGACATCTACTAATTTAACTTCTAACACTTGTTGTCTTGAAAAAAAATTATAGCATTATTTTAATATAAATTTTTATTTTAAATTTAAATCATAGCATCACTTTAATATAAAATGATTTTCATTTTAATTTAATATTAGGGAAAATAACTTAATTTTATTTTAAATTTCATTATAGCATCATTTTAACATAAAATTATATTCATTTTTTATTAACGAAAATTTTATTTTATTTTAGGAGAAAATTTTATTAATATAAAATTATTTAAATTAAAAATGAAATTTATATTAAAGTGATGCTATAATAAAATTAAAAATGAAATTTTCGTCAATATAGCATCACTTAAATTTAAATTTAAGAAAATTTAGGTTTGCTTTAAAATGATTTTCATTTTAGGTTTTCTTTTCCTTTTTATTTTATAATAAAAATTTAAGAAAATTTTGAAAAATTGTTCCAAGGTACTTTTGTTTCCGTATAGATGCACCATTTAATTTTTTTTTTTTTTTTAATTTTATTAACACTATGCTAAATGAGTTGTTTTTATTAATTTTAATTTAATAGGCATCATTTTATTAAATTTGCATTAAGGGGCATTTTAGTCATTATGACACCACTTTGCAACAAATTGTATGTATAGTTAGGTAAGTTTTATGTCAACTTTTTTCTTCACAGAGATTTCTTGCAAAAAATTTAAAATAAAGGGGGGTTTTATGCAATTTGAACTATATAATAGGAACAAGGGCATTTTTGTCTAAAAAATACGGGATTTGATTTTTCATCCATTCATTTACCCCTCGGATAGTTGAGGGGGGTTTTTTGGAAAAAAAATTAGTCGAGGAGGATTTATTACAAAACATTTTAAGTTGATGGGAGTTTATTACAATTTGCCCTAATTTGAAAGCTTATATGCATATATAGATTTTTTTTAATTTTTTTATTCACAAAAAATTTTAAGCAACTAATATCATAAATAGATAATTACAAAAGTGAAAAATGGCCTACGGCCATGAACAATCCAGATGCCCAAATGAAGGGCTCAAAGCCAAGGGAAAGACCCAGTCCATGAAGAAACAAAGGAAACGGATAAAGTAACCGTTACTTGTGGTTATCATACCACCATTTCCGGTTAAAAAAAATTTTAAGCAACTGATATTATAAATAGATAATTACAAAAGTGAAAAATGGCCTATGGACATGAACAATCCAGACGCCCAAATAAAGGGCTCAAAACCAAGGGAAAGACCCAGTCCATGAAGAAACAAAGTAAGCGGATAAAGTAACCATTACTTGTGGTAATCATACCACCATTTCCGGTTAACCTCCCATGGGTTCACAATGGGTTGTTCTTAGGCATTAAAGATTCTTAAAAAAATTTGACATAAAAGTTTCTAAGAACCTTTAAATCTTAAAGATTTTTTTTTTTTTT